GAGGGGGGGCGGGGAGGGTCCGCAGCGGTTCTTCCTACTGAGGGGATGGCGGGGGTGGGCGGTGGGCGAATGGGGGTGGGGAGAGTGGGGGATTTCAGCTCCAGCGTGGAACCTAGAGAAGCCAGAGGAAGGTTCTGTCACGTGGGTTGAGCCTTAGAAGGTGGATTTTCAGAACTGCAGGGTGTGACCTTTCCGCCTCGAAAAGCGTGAAATCCCTACAAGGTGCTGTTTGTTCTAGGTTCTGGGAGAGAGGTTTGTGCTTTCGAAGTTTCTCGTTCTCTTCCATTCCTTCTCTTTCTCTTCCATTCCTAGTGACCTCTTCTCAGCCGTCCAGGACTAGGTAGAGGTTTGCAAAGGAGCAAGGGAAGACTGTGTGTGGTTCGTGTTCAGTGCTATATTATTTTCTGCACTGGGGACTGTGCGAGTTTCTCAGGTTTGTTTGGATTGCCCTTTACAATAAAAACCCTGTGCCAGGGAGACCCCTTGGGAAAAGAAGAGAGAACAGGGTTTATAAAGGGGACTCCAGGTTTGGTTTTTTAATTTCCTGAAGGGCAAGAGATACGTCGTGTTAGCATTTTGCTTGACTTTTAGAAGAGGTAATAATAGAATAAACGTATGTCTTTGCTGGAAGTCCCCTGTATTCGTTTAAATTATTCCGTCGGGATTTTCTGAGCCCCCTTTGATTTGAATTTGGAACAAATCCAGTTTTCCTAATTGGAGCCATCATTTCGTAATTGCCTGTAATTCTTCCCTGGGTTATCAAATCTATGGCAAGCTTATAGAGCAGTAGGAATAATTTTTTTTTCGTTATCTTGATTAAGACAGTTTTAATGTAAATTTGATGTGAACATTTACAGAATAGCATAAGTTTAAATTATGAATCCCTTGGAATTTTGCAAAGCCTTTCCCTCCCCAACTCATCTTCTCCAGGAACAGAACCCTCCCCATTCTTTACACTGAAGAAGCAAGGGCTTCTGGGATGGTAGCTTTGCCTTTGGAAACTCATGCTTGTATTTGCTTAAGAAGAGTACATACTAAAAAGGCATACGCCTTTAATGTGGTGAGGCTATACGTGCTTTCCCATTTTGGTTACATAAGGTTCCAATCTAGTCTTTACCTTCAGTCTTTAAAAATGGTTATTTAACATTTTTAAGAGCAAATATAATCTTTATGCAACAGGAAGTTGGTCAGATAGGCCATGATTTGTACAAACCGCCTTGCAATAAGTATGTAGTCGAAGACTACCATATATAGGATCTGTAACCATATATGGTTTTTAAAATTCTACGCTTCCATTCCCATATTGAATTTTTTGGAGAAGGAAAGCTTTTTTTTTTTTTTTTTCTTCCAACCAAGTCTAGATTTTTGAGTGAAACTTTCAAAAAAATTTGTGTAAGATTCCTCTTGTATGATACTAGTGCACTGGAGCTAATTTAGTTATCTACCAAACGAATGGACCACTTAAATAATTACTTTGTTTACTGGAAATACTAAACTGGAAATAGAGATTCTGGTCTCAGATTGATGAGGTGCATTTAAATAAGCACTATTAAATGCACCATTTCTAACGTTACTGCGATACACATTCTCTATACAGGCAACAATCTAAAACTTATGCATTTAAAAATACAATTTAAGTCTGATTGTTTTCTTTCTTAGGAATAGAATGCTGAGAGTGGTAAAAAGAGGGAAACATGTTGATGGGTGGTGGGGACTTCAGTTTCTCCAGACAAGAGGAGTAAATGGATGTCTTTAGCCAGCTTTTTGAGAACCTCTTGTTTGCCCTGCAGGACTGGAGGGGGGAAAAAAGAAGAAATCTCAGAAATTAATGGAAGTATGATCAAATGTCTTTCTAAATAGTCTTAAAGATTTTGCTTATAGCCACTGGAAGAATAATTGGCAAATCAAGCCTTTGCATAAATTTGATCCTCACCCCTAAAGTTTTGACATTAAAAAAAAATAACAGTTTGTTGAAGGAATGGAAGCCAACCTTCAGAGGCCGATCCCTGTTTTTCTGCTCCCCACCTCCTGGTTCCCTTCTGCCCCACACCCCTCCCTTATCCCCCCCTCTGGTGCCAGCAACGTTGGGAGTTGAACAAATGTTTGTGCTTGCTTGAACTTTAGGCCTTATCTATTTGGCTGCATTCCCCAACTTTTGCCTACGAAATTTTTTTGGTTAATTGAACTTTCCGGTTGTTTGGATTTAGGGTAAAAGGGAGTAGACTGTAATTATTTTCTCTTAAAAAGATCCTTTCTTTCAGCTCCTGCTGGACGAGAGCAAAGAAAGGTTCTTTTTTTTTCCTTTGTCAACGGAGTACTTAATTAAGCAGAATATATGACCATTCACTTATTCAGCAAACATTTACTGAGTTGCCACCTGTGTTGGAGGCTCTGCGCTAGGTGCAGGGATACATGGTGGTTAAGAAATGGCTCCCGCCTTTTGGGGCAGTTATTAAAACGAAAAACAGACCATGAATTTGTTTTGAATAATCAAGGGGTGTCCACAGTCTTTGGGGCATTAACATAGCACTTTATATACATTAAACATGCTTCAACCATGCGCACAGTGGAGTCATTTCTGGCCAGGGAAATATTCATGGTATGAATAGTACCTCACCTTCCCAACTAAGACATACTTTTTCATTTTGGGTAATAATATGGTTTATAAGTTATCTTTTTTAAAAAGATTTTATTTATTTACTTGAGAGAGAAAGAGCACAAGCAGGGAAGAGGGAGAGGAAGTAGCAGACTCCCCGCTAAGCAGAGAGCCTGACGTGGGGCTCGATCCCCGGGACCCCCTGGGTCATGACCTGAGCCGAAGGCAGATGCTTAACCGACTGAGCCACCCAGGCGCCTGGTTTATAAGTTATCTTAAGGGTCTTAAGGCCTATGGCCTTTTTTAGAAAAAGATACGTTTTATGTGAAGTACATAGGACATAGGAGACTTCCTGATTTAAGTTCCACACTTTATATCACCTCATGGAGCTGTGAGGAGACAGCGGCCAGGCCAGCATTCCTTCCCGTGACTTAAAATCATCTTCTGAAAGCAGAGGGGGCCGAACAAAATTATTCTGTGGTCAACTTTGGGTTATGGATAATGGATGATGGAACCCAGAAGAGTGAATGATACTGAAGAGTAGCTCTAGTAAACCTTCACCCTCCTGCCGGGGTACCTCCTGAGATCTTTGTGCATTGCCCTGTTTGTGGATAGTGCTAGACTAGTAGTTTTTAACTGGGGCAGTTTTGCACCCCCCCCCCCCAAACGGGACATTGAACAATGTCTGGAGACATTTTTGGCTGTCATGAATTGGGATGCGGCATGCTGCTGGTGTCTAGCAGGTGGATGCCAGGGATTTGGCTTCGACAGTCTGCATCACCTGGGGCAGCCCCCACAACAAAGAATTACCTGACCTGAAATGGCAGTTGTGCTGAGGTTGATGGAATTCCTTCTATGAGATGCAGTAAAACGTAACTTCAGGCAGAGTAGAAAGCAGTAACAGCGTCTCGACGAGACATTGTGTTTGCTGAACTCACCCTACTAGTCTTAAAATTGACTAGTCCCAGTACGTCGACCTGAATAATTAAAAGACCAGTAAGAGCTACCATCTACGGGACTTGCGCTGTGCCAGGCCCTTGTATACATTCTATATTCTTCTCATCTTATACATGAGGAACCAGGCTCAGAGAAGCAAAGTGACTTGCTACAGGTCTTACGGCTGGTCAGGGTTGGAAGCAGACATCAAAAATAAGATCATCTTACTCTTCAAGAAGTTCATGGTTTTTGAGCACAACGTCGTTGTACCATCTCCCTTGTGGCATGCTCCATTCAAAATCTTACTTAACAACATTAAGATTACTACATGTCCTATATACCATTGAGCTTGCTTGAGAGTAATTAAAACCGTGAACGTTAAATTTGATCATACTTGGAAGTAAGTGGCCGGGAGTAGGGGGAGAAAGGGAACTGACATTACTTGAAGGCCTGCTATAGTTCTAGAAAATACATTCATTGAATTTACACCCACTGTGTAATTTGATCCTCCCAGCAACTCTGCAAAGGAACGATGCGCATTTCACAGATGAGGTTAGGAAAGTAACTTGTCTAAGATTGCACAACTAAGTGGGAGAGTTGGGATTTGAACGTAAGTCCCATGACTAAGCCCCGGTGCCTTGCTGCTTTCTAAATCTTGTGGTCGGTGAAGGGGGGTGAGTTGAGCATGCTGCAGAAAGGTGAGTAACTGGTCCTGGATAAAAAGAGACTTCAGAGGTAACGTGTCATAGATGATGGATTATATTCAGGTAGAGAATTGGGGAGGTGAATCACCGTATTTTCCTCCACTGATGAGAATTGAAGTCAACAGGGAATTTGTTCTAGGGATCTACCCAAATTAAGCCTGTAATTGTCATTTTGGAGAACTTCATTTGCTATCTTTGCTATCTTACTTGAATTTTTCAAACACTGTTTTGATAACCATGACACACTGGAAGTTAGCTAATGGTGTTTATATTCTTTCTGCGGCTCACCTTCTACCTCTTGGGACTGTCTTGTAGAACTTAGTAATGACAGCATTTGGTTCTGTCATCTTTTTAAACAATTTAAACATTTGTTTTTGCTATGGAAGTTGTTTTTATAATAAACGTCATCAAACTCATACTTGTGTTTTCCATATGAGGGGTGTGTTTTGTTTTGACAGCTAAATATTTATTTTAACTTTTGATGTGTTGTGTTTTCGAACATAACAAGAGGAAAAATAAAAAAAACAGCCCAATAGCAATCGTATTTTGTCTGGCAAGCAGTTTTTTTTTTTTTTTTGGTGGGTAGAAGGAGGACTTCATGTTTCATTTCATTTACTTTAAATTGGAAAGGAATTTCAACCATGATTCTCAAGGGCCAGGATGCTGGGGGAAAAAAAAGAAATGTTATTTAGATAAAATGCATGCTTTGATTTCCACATAGGTCTGGGAGCCATAGATTCTGGTTATAATAATAATGTTGTGGCTCGGACTGCAGCAATCAGTCACTGGGGTGATCAAGCGCTGGGTATGGGCACGCATTGTGATACGGATTTTGTACCTGCCCCCGCATGATTTTAGAGTAGACTTGAGAAATCTGATAAAACTTGCAAGAATGCACGAATCCTTTCAAAAATCCAACTTTTTCGTGCTCGCTTCGGCAGCACATATACAAAAATCCAACTTTTTCATGACAGTAGTGGTACTTTCTCATTGTAGGGAAGTTCAGAAAACACAGAAAAGCTTAAAGAAGAATAGAAATATCAGTTATAACCCACCACCCGTAAATTAGTGAGGTTTTTTTTTTGTATTTCTTTTTATTTTTTAAAATTTTTTATTGTTATGTTAATCACCATACATTACATCATTAGTTTTTGATGTAGTGTTCCATGATTCATTGTTTGTGCATAACACCCAGCGCCCCATGCAGAACGTGCCCTCTTTAATACCCATCACCAGGCTAACCCATCCTCCCACCCCCCCTCCCCTCTAGAACCCTCAGTTTGTTTTTCAGAGTCCATCGTCTCTCATGGTTCGTCTCCCCCTCCGATTTCCCCCCCTTCATTCTTCCCCTCCTGCTATCTTCTTTTTTTTTTTTCTTAACATATAATGTATTATTTGTTTCAGAGGTACAGATCTGTGATTCAACAGTCTTGCACAATTCACAGCGCTCACCATAGCACATACCCTCCCCAGTGTCTATCACCCAGCCATCCCATCCCTCCCACCCCAACCCCCGTATTTCTTTTTAAAGGTGGACTTGAGCGAGTGCACTGCAGAGAGTCCAACTTGCAAATGTAGCCTAAGTCATTTTTTAAGAATTTTACCAAAAGGTTTTTTGAGTTACTATTGCATCTCTAGAGAGAAGTCATAGTCCTAAGGAGTGAAATGGGAACAGTGCTATGGAGTTGGAGAACGATCACATAAGCTCCTTAAAATTTCTCCTCCTCCAACTTGAGTGATAGAATTCCCATGCTAGAAAGGGCTGTCAGGACCCACTTCCCCTCCTTTTATGGATAAGTAAACTGAGGCTCACAGAGGTTGAGCATCTGCTTCCAGGTCATACAGCGTGTTAGTGTTGGAGTTCCAGTTTGAAGTTTTAGGTCCTCTGTACATGCGTAAGTTGTTTTTTTTTTTTTTTAAGATTTTATTTATCTATTTGACAGAGAGAGAGCACAAGTAGGCAGGGTGGCAGGCAGAGGGAGAGGGAGAAGCAGGCTCTCCGCTGAGCAGGGAGCCCGACGTGGGGCTCGATCCCAGGACCCCAGGATCATGACCTGAGCCGAAGGCAGCCGTTTAACCGACTGAGCCACCCAGGCGCCCCCATGGGTAAGTTTTTATTTCCTAAATAAAAACTCTTCACAGTCACGAACTTTTTGTTGGCCTGTCCCTCAAAAGAACAGACTTTTATGGTGGAAGTATATTAACTATATTAAAGGATACCAAAAAGGCCAAGTATTTCCCAATTTCAGAAAATGATCAAAACAGTTGGGAGTAGGGGCACCCGGCCAGCTCAGTCGGTAGAGCCTGTGACTCTTGATCTTGGGGTTGTGAGTTCGAGCCCCACGCTGCGCGTAGAGAGGACTTAAAAAAAATCTTTACCAAAAAAAAAAAAAAAAATCAGCTGGGAGCATTACAGGAATTTGTCCTCTTGTCTGCTTTATTGAAATTGAGTGTTAGTAGTGGGGAAGCTCTTTCGTGCATCTAGCCCTCAGTTTAATTTCCCCTGGCCTGTGGAGCGAGTACCAAGTACCTGTAGTCGCAGAAGTGAGAAATGACTTTATGAGAGTCTTTCCACACGGTAGTCTGGAAGACCACAGGGCTATTGTTGCATGAAATTTTTTTCCTTTATAAAATGGGATGTCTGTTCAAATTGTAGGAAGGAAATTTTAAAGATGGCATCTGCTTCCAGACTTCGGTAGGAAGTTAACAAAATTGTAGCAAATGCTGCCTAACACAGGCCCACAGAGTGGTTGTTGTAATGTGGCACTATGAAATCCGTCCGTAAGCTTCCCTCTCTTTCCTCCCCTACCCTTCTTCCTTTCTTCCTGTAGCTCGCTCGCTCTGCGTCTCCTTGGTCTGTGTGTCTCTCTCACTCTTGGGGTCACTCCCCTTTCAGTCCAGCAGACTCTCCCCGTTTGCCTTTTCTGGGCTCAGCGTGTAGCCACATCGTCCCATTCATCCGACCCCACTCGCCAGTATTAGGGTTACCCCAACCCGGGCCGGGCAGGTATTTTCTGCCTGGCACAGCAGGGAAGCTGCTCTCCAGAGCAGGTGTGGGGTAAGGAGAGCTGGCGGCCCTCAGTAGAGAAACGTCACCAGGAGACTAGAATTAAGCACACACTACGTATGGAGATCACGCGGGCTGCATAGACACAGAAAGCCGCGAACACGACATCCTCCCTCGTCTACAGCCGGGGCCCCAGCAAAGCTACAGCTACATGAGATAATGAATATGGATTGGATATTCATTGCCAAGGGCTTACCATTTGAACAAATGAGAAAATTGTACCCTTGCCTAGGGGTGTGTTCTTAAGTCGTTTTTACTCCTGTTCCTCATTATTGCCTGCTAATGAGTATGTGCGTCGTCAGAGAGCAACCAGCTCTTCCTGGCGTCCTGGAGTACACCGTATTTCTCTTCGGAAAAGGGCTTTTCCTCTGTATTGAAACCAGCGAGGTTTGCTTGTGCTTCATTTTTGAACTGCCGTGGATCTAAAATGCACAGAAGGTATACGTGCACTGGTTTTTAAATGCGGTGAAACCGCGAAAAAGAACACTCAAAATAAGTCTTTGTTGTCAGCACTTCAGTGCTAGTAGAATGCATATTTTATTTACCCCCATAAAAACTCTCTGCGTCTTACGTATATTCCAAGCCAGAAAGCGTTCCATATGCACCATAATCACAAGAATTTGTAATAGTCACAAGGGTTTAAATTTACTTTTCAATACTAAGAAAATGATAGCTGGGAGTACACAGGTCTTATCGTCAAGGTGATTTTTGATGAGAGGACAAAACTAAAGTTCTGTATTTGATTAAGACTTGTTACTCGCTTTCAGTTTTCGGGTGTGGATAAGACGGCTTGACTCGTGTCACATTGGAAATGCGTGATTCATTAGGAAGACACCGAGGATTGGTTTTACACATCATTCTTGTTTGTGAAGCCCAGGCATAATCCATCACCTGCGCTATATGTGGCCAGGTGAAGGCAAGTAACAGGTGTCTCCCGCCTCCCGCCCAGGTTTCTTAGAGACCAGAGAGTAGACACAGGCACATAGAGCAGCCATAAAGTCCAAACATTTCTTTTTTTTTTTTTTTAAAGATTTTATTTATTTATTTATTTATTTGACAGAGAGAGAGATCGCGAGAGCAGGAACACAAGCAAGGGGGAGTGGGAGAGGGAGAAGCAGGCTTCCCGCGGAGCAGGGAGCCCGCTGCGGGGCTCGGTCCCAGGACCCTGGGATCATGACCTGAGCCGAAGGCCGACGCTTAACGACTGAGCCACCCAGGCGCCCCAAGTCCAAACATTTTTGCATCACTAAGCCATGGTAGTGGATTTAGAGATATGAATTAACATGATTTTATGTTTTTCAACAGCTTCTAAGAAACAGCCTGTAAATAACTGTAGTTTCAAATACCTAAAATGATCAGTTCCTCAGCCAGGTAGCTTCTGGAAGCTAAGGGGACACTAAGTTCCTTGTCAGCGATTCTGCATCTCCAGATGCCAGGGTCAGTTCAAATTTTCAAATCCTAGGCCCTTCCCTTCTAGGCTACAAAAAAGCTCTGCCTCTTTTAAGGAAGGACCTGGGAAGGAATTTTGCAATGTAGTAAGCACACCTAACCACGCAAAGGAAAGAAACCAAGCAGCCAGATATCTAATAGGAGGTGAACGTTTATACTTGCATCTATGGATAAAGCTGCCTGCCTTTGTTAGAGCCCCCTCCTTTTTTCCAGCTAGAACCCCTTTTTTAATGTCCAATTTTTCCCTGCTTTATTAAGGAATAATCAACAGATTGCGTATGTTTAAAGGGTACCACATGATATGGTGCACATGTACATTGTGGAATGATCGAGATAATTTAAAATCAACTTCATTGATTATCATTTATGGATGATAAAGTGCATCCACTTAAGGCATACAGTTTGATGAGTTTGGGCAGATGTATGTGCCCATGAAACCAGCGCCACCATCAGGAGGTAGGATATTTTTATCACTCCC